TTTTGATCATATGACCCTGGGGATGCTCTAATGGTTGGAAGTGTGAAAAACGGTCATAAGTAACTTTTTTCAGTGATGCTGTAACTTCAAACAGTCATTAAACAAACTGTTGTAAGTTGAGGACTACCTGTATATCTAGATCAGGCATGTCAAATTGCCGGCCCACAGACCAGATGCGTCGTGCCGAAACCGCACCCACCCCATTGCCAGCAATGGAGAAAAAGTTGCAAAACGTCACACAACGTCACGTGATCTCGCAAGTTTGACATGCCTGATCTAAAAAATGCCTCGGCTGCATTTTCTACACAATAGAATTGTGTAGCTGGCTGTGAGCTATAAAGCGCTCCGTAGCATAGGGCCTCACTATTTGAAGGACTGCCTGTCTCTCATTGTGTCTGCCCCTCCAATAAGATCTGGCAGAGTGAGCATGTCTAGGTCCCATTTTTGAAAGAGTATGATCTGATGGGACTTAGGTGGCATGGCATACTTTCCTTGTTGTCCCACCTGTCCTCTGAAATAGTATTACCCCCCTCCCCCTTGCCCCCCCCTCAAGTTTGAATTGCCCTGTCTTTGCTGTCCTTTAAACAGCTTTTTTCCTCTGGGGCTGCATTAGGAAGTGGGTGCTGCTGTGAGAATTTTATTAATATATTTGATACGTCAATCTCTGACTAATCCCTTTCTTTGCTTTGCATAATATTAGATTGGATTGTTTTTATATCTTATATCTTGCCCAGAGTCAAATTTGGATGGCCTACAAATTTGATGTATTAATTAATTAAACAAATAAATTTTCTAAACGTTATATAAAGTGATGGAATGTAAGAAATGTTTCAATACCTGCTGTTTGCTGCCCAATTGGAGCACAATATTCCTCTGTCACTGAAGTGATTCTGCACAGTCTTGTTATCCATGGATTTGCATAACTCCAGTCAATAAATAGGTCACTAGACACACAACTGAGCAGCACTTTCTCTAAGATTGTGGACTCTCACGGCTCATCCTGGTGCCTGTGCAGTGCAAGGAGTGAGTGGTCAGTGGACAGCACTATCGTCCAGAACCACAACAGACAGCCTTCTTCACCAAGATGATGAAAGAACTGTGCAGAGTGATGAAGCCAGTATGTGCCCAGTGACTCCTTCTATTGCTAGGTCACTTCCAAGCAGCCTTCCCAAAGAAATCAATGTGACCTTGTAACCAAGATGATTCAGTGAGATCTACTGCAACTGGTCAAGAAGAAGCAGCAGCAAATGACCTGATGCAAATTCTTAAATAAGTGTGTTACGCACTCCCAAAACTCTGTCTGCCATTTTGTGTATACATAAATGAATGAAGAGCAAGACCCAAGTGGCAGATACATGAATCCTTCTGTACATATACTGAGGTCTGGTCAATATTTTATCAACTGCAACCTGACTAGCCCTCTCCCCATTCTCCTCACAGATGTATTGGCAGTCTGACTGAGCGTCCTTTTTATCCTGGTCCTTGGTTCTTCTGGGTTTGGCCTACACCCAGGCTTTGTGCCCACTCAGCCACATACTTGTTACTTGTGGCCTTCCTTTCCTGTTCCACCAACTGCAGTCCTTTGTGCAATGGTTGCTGGGAGGACCAATGGCTCTTAAATGGAGTCAGGGCGGGGTTCTTTCTTTACTCTAAGATCTTTTAAGTCCTCTAAATTGGAGATACTGAGCAGAAGCTCAGACAAGAACAGTGAAGAAGCCAGAGAGAACTGCAGGCTGGGGATGGAAGGGTACAGAATTAATTCCAAAGGCTGGGTATGGGAAGAGCACAACTGCCCCTTATCTGTGTTGGGCTCCTCACAAAGTACTAGGCCTCTAGCCAAGAAGCCCTAATTTCAAGGCTGAGATAGGATAGAAACACCTCTGTGACAACAGAACCCAGAAGTTGGTTTCCAGATGTTTCTGCAGTGACTTCTCTCAGGGTCTCTCTAGACCAACCTTTTCACCCATTGTACCACTTTTAGGATATGGTAATATCCGAGTACCACCAGTCGCCTAGCAAGGTATCAAAAACTTGATGACCAAAAAAAAAAAAAGGGAAAAAAGTGATAAAGTACAGGTAGTCCTTAACTTACAACAGTTTGCTTAGTGACTGTTTGAAGTTACAATGGCACTGAAAAAAAATGCCCCCCAAGCCACAGCCGAGCAAGACACCTGCCTGCCCACCCGGCGGTGCTCTTCCTCCTGTCCGAGGTTTCCATTGTTGTGAGCATTTCTGTTGGGGATTGGCAGTGGAGGTGGGGTTCGGGGGTGTTTGGTTTTTATTCCCCCTGTGTGCTGGGTGGTTGCAGCAGGTTTTGGTCACTTCACATGACCCTGGGACACTGTGACCATCATAAATATGAATCAGTTGCCAAGTATCTGAATGTAAATCACAAGACCCTGGAGATGCTGCAACATTCCAGCTGGTCGGTGCTTCTTCTGGGCTCAGCAGAAATGCCAGGATCAGCACTGAGCTCCAGCTGGAGCCTGGCTCTGATCCTGGCGCTTCCACTGAGCCCTGACAGTCCCGAAGAAGCGCTGATCCTGGCGCTTCCGCTGAGCTTTGACAGCCCTGCAGCTCCAGCCATCTCTCACTCAGGCCTGTGCGGTGCGGTGCTGCCAGCGGTTCAGCTCATTCCCCTCCCCCGCTACAACTTTTCTAGGATGTTTGCATACCACCTGCCAGGTACCAATGTACCACAGGTGGTACCCGTACCACTGGTTGAAAAGCCCTACTCTAGACTAACTGCCAGGAACTAGGCTCCCTCCTCCAATCTTTTCTTCCTCAAATTTAGCTTCCTCTTCTCAGCCAGCCAGTGAATATCCAGACCTGCCTCTTGGGTCCCTCAAAGGTCCATGTAGGAGTCCAGAGTCCTGCAGGAATTCAGCCCCATTCTGCCTACACGTGGCAGCAGAGAACCAAGTCCTGGCAAGCTCTGGCTTTGTATATGCAAACAACTAATGAATGGGATGAGGAATCCATACAATGCTAAAGGAATTTCTGTCAAACTTAGTAGTACTGAGGGATTATTCATTTATTCTCAGGAATCCGCACAAATTAATTTTATCATTTTAGAGAATCATGATACTGTCAGGTTTGAGAATCTTTACACTAAGTCATGAGCTCTGATTTAGAAACCTGCAGGACTGGGTAGTTTCCTTAGTGATATAGTATATGCTAAAGCACAATTAGCCTGGTTCTAATTGTAACACCAAGCAACAATGGTATACAAAAACAGCAGCTCAGTTCATGTAATAGTTTAAAGTGCAAAGCAGAAAATCATGTAATAATTTAATGTAATGTGTGACTGCAATTGCAGTTATCTTTGACTGATTTATAGCACATGTTCATTAAATGTTCTTTCTTTTTTTTAAAAAAAAACCCAAAATTGTAATGTATATGCTTTAACCCCAATAATTTGGCAGAAACTGAATAGATCTGCAAAATACTGTGGTCTCTCACACTGCACTCCACAGGCACCATTTCCCAATGGCTGTAACCATCAACCAGATCATTTGGGGAAGATTGATCAGCTGAAGTCACTTGAAATGAGTTTGGCAGCTGTTGTATACCTGCAGCTGCTAAGGCCCAAATACCAAGGGGACTCCAACACCTCTTGCTGGTCCCAGTTTTCCCATTTTCCAGTCAATTGACCTTGAGAGCCAAGCATCATTGTACTTTTCCACAAACCCCCTTGCAGCTCTGCACTCAAGTAGTGTGGGAAACTCAAATGGGCTGCTGCCATTAATTTTCCCAGAAGGGTTGAGTTCACACATTCTCTGTTCAACCAATGAATGAAGCACACTTCCTAGGCTTGGACAAAGCATGAAGCCAGAAACAAGCAAACCATATTTTACCTTAGCAAGTTACACAAATCCAACCAATGCCCAAAATAATACTATGTTGGGCACTCAAGGTAACAGTGGGAAATTTAATATAGCTCCTCAAACCTGGAGCCCATCCTATGTGCAGTCATTCAAAACATATAGAATAATAGAGTTGGAAGGGACCTTTGAGGTCTTCTGATCCAACCCCCTGCTCAAACAGGAGACCCTATAGCAGTGGTTCTCAACCTTTTTAATGCCGCAACCCCCAACCGGTCGTAAGTCGAGGACTACTCAACTGGTGCAGCACCTTTGCAGAATGGGACTTTTGGCGGGCTCAGCAGGGCAGAGACAGCCTGGACAATTCCTATTGGCTTTTGAAAGCCAATAGAATAAAGGGGAGTAGCACAGCTAAGGAAAAGGGGGGAAAATGGCAGACTGCGTTGTTTGGCGACCCCCGTGAAATGGTCATTCGACCCCAAATGGGGTCCCGACCCACAGGTTGAGAACCACTGCCCTATAGCATTCCAGATGTGGCTATCCAGTGATGAAGCACCCACAACCTCTGAAGGCAAGCCATTCCACTGGTTAATTGTTCTCACTGTTAGGAAATTTCTCCTTAGTGCTAGGTTGGTTCTCTCCCTGATTAATTTTTATCCATTGTTTCTTGTCCTGCCTTCAGGTGCTTTGAAGAATAGGTTGACCCCCCTCTTCTTTGTGGAAACCCCTGAGATATTGGAACACTGCTATCATGTCCTCACAAATCCTTCTTTTCTTTAAATTAGCCGTACCCAATTTCTGCAACCGTACTTCATGTTTTAGTCCCCAGGTCCCTAATCATGTTTGTTGCTCTTCTCTGCACTCTTTCCAAAGTCTCAACATCTTTTTTTTTTATCATGGGGTGACCAAAGCTGTATTCTAAGTGTGATCTTACTAAGGCTTTATAGAGCGGTGCTAATACTTCACATGATCTTGACTCTGTCCCTCTGTTTATGCAACCAAGGATTGCATTCGCTTTTTTGGCTGCTGCCGCACACTGCTGGCTCATACTTAAGTGATTACCTTTGGCCCATCTCTTGCCACCTCTTGCTGAACCAAATTCCTACTTTCTCTCAACTCTCCCATTTATAGCTCAGCAAAAAAAAAAAAAAAAAAAAAGACTGATTAAAGCAGTGGAGAGTGAAAGAGATTTCCATCTGTTGCAGTCACAAAAGAGTCGCCTCTGCTGGTGGGAACATTTACATGCTGCTGCAGAAGGAAGAAAACAGCACTCCTGACCTGCAGCAGGATGTGGTGAGCTGTCTCTTCTACTGGGAGTAAGAGGAAACAGTTTGCAGAAGAATGGTGGCCCTAAGAAGTGCAGGTAATTGATACATGCCTGATCTCCCCCCCCCCCAATCCGTCCAAATATTAGCAGGCACCACTCTGCAGATCTCATTGCTGCTTGGATCTCTCCTTGCGTAGTCCTCAGTGTTCTGAAGTGATAGGTATGAATTGCAGGATTCATACAGTCAGGTCTTCCTTTGAAATTCTCCTTTGTATGCCTATAGCAAAAGTAAATATCTAGGGAAACATTTACTGAGAGCCAGAAAGCATTTGGCAGAGGAGAATGTTATAGAAATGCTGCAGCTTTGCAGAACCCATTGTAGATTTTGACTTTATCTCTGATCTCATTGATTTCTGTAATCACACAGTAACACCTGCACAGGCGGGTTTAAACTCTGCAAATCTCCCTCTCCCTTGCCCATGTACCTTTACCATTCTCTCTAAAAACAGTCAGGTATATTGTGAGCTTTTGGGCTTTTAAAAATTGTGGGCAGCAGGATTATTTGGGCTTTTCACACAGGTAAGGCATTAGTAGCAAACAAGGGCTGGTTTTTAATAACCTTGAGGAAGGGAGAAAATACATAGCAAAGAAAAAAAATTAAAGATGGAAAGGGGAGCAGGGAACAAATGCTGAAAAAGGAAGGGCAGTTGCTAAGTGGTAGAACACATGTTTTGCAACCAAAACCCTGGCACTGAATATAGGCAGTCCAAATAGGTAGAAGTCAGCTTCTTATGTCTAAAAGGTAGTGAAATTAGAAGTTCTCCACAGCCATGTTTTTAGCAGCTGCGGGAACATTTTTGTGCTATGTTCCTTTAGAGATAATCTATCAGGACCATATTGATAGTGAGTGGAGTTGAAAGTAGAGATGTTTGGGGTGAAAACCAAAAATTGGCACTCCAGCCTTCCTCTAAAATCCATTTTGACTGGGTTCATGCACTATATTTAGCCATGGTTTGTTGGCTAACTAATTACAATTGTGTAGGTTTACATACAGTAAACTATAAATCAGGTTTTTTAAACCATACAGACGAGATCCACATGTTCTAGATCAAACAAGCAAGCCACAACAGCTGATATATCTCTCTCTTTATGTCATCCGATACTCCTTTCTTCCACTCTTCTGCTCTTCGTCAACCTCCTTTTGGTCTACAAATAAATGAATAAAAATGGACAAATCTGTTGTCCAGGAGTCTGAGCCAAAAGCATTTGCAAAAAGTCTTTTGAAATCAGACCAAGGTTCCCATTAAAGTAGACCCGTGTCAGCAAGTGACATAAGTATGCTCAAAGAAAGATCTAACATAGGGTCTACAGAACCACACGAGAGGTGGGCAAATCTACTTCTCTGAGTGCAGTCGATTTAAAAGCAGGAAATGTGGGAGAGGACTGATGTGTTTCAAGTGATTGACATTGGCAGTGGCCCATGGGAGGAACTGCCTCTGGCATTGTCGATCCATGCCTGTTTTTAGGCATCCTCCTAACGGGCCAAGCCCAAAGCAAAAACACTGTGCTCAGCTCAACCCTGTTATATTCTGCATTGCAAGCAATGAGCTTGAATAAATAAGCAGCCCCTTGAGCAGCTATGTTGCAATCTAGCACATGGAGCTAGCAAAGAATGAGAAACAATCAGTATCTCAAAGAGCTCCAAAAATAGATCAGGGTCAGGCACAAACATAGTCATGAAATTATTTGTCCTTGATCTCCACAGTGCATCAGATGCAAAGCCAGGCCTTCGCTTCCACTCTGCCACCTGATCTTCTAGACTATTACAAATGTGTTTCTTTGTCTGCATTGTAAGTTTATAAGCACAAAACACAACGCCTTCTTCCAAATGAAAATAATAGCCTGCAAATTTCTCTTTGTTCCTTGCTTGACATCTTTCATGTTGTGCTGGTTAAACTCAGTTGCTTAAAATCAGCCTGGAGCTTCCAGATTACGGCTCCCATCACCCCTGGCTGGGATGGTGGTGGGAGAATGAAGGGGGTTGTACTTCAATATATTTAGAAGGCATCAGGAAAGGGAAGGGGACTCTTAAATTCTTCCAAGCTCCAAATTGATTTTTTTTTAAATAAAAAGACTACATGAATGATGCCATCCAGTCCCACTTGAAAGAAAATGTTTTTGTTTTTAAAAAATGAGGTCACAAACCTGGCACAAATTACAAATTGATGTGGGCACAATGTAATGGGGGGGGGGAATTTGCTCACTATCATTGTTGAGGGAAACATTTTTTTTCTGAAATATTTCTTCACACGGAAAATGGAGAAAACTGGTACTGTAAGGGCAACTGGATCCATCTCTGCTAACTGCAACTGACAATTTTAGTAAAAGGCAGGGCTAGCTGGGGTCACAGTGATTTCTTTCTGAACAAAATAGCCTCTTTTTTTCCAAAAAACCCCCCACCAAAATGATTGCCTCCTTCTAGCTATTATTTGCCACTGGGAAAATAAAAGAGGGAAAATGGGCAGCCAGTTTGCCAATTTTTGCTTTATCTGCCATTTCAGGATCTCCAGGGGGAAAAAAAGCCTATCCTATCAGACTATAGCAGAGGGAGCAATTGATCTCTTCTTTAGAATAGTGGATCCTCTATAAGACAGCATGGATGCATCTAACAAAGGATCTTGCAGATGCTGCTGAAAACGGGTTTTGTTAGCATATTGTGCTTGCTCTGAATTGCACAGTAAGTCTGCTCTCCCCGTGTAATATAAGGGACGAAGGCTCTTCTGAATGTGTGTGTGACAGAGAAAGAAAGAAGGGATGAGTGTGGATGATTAGCTTTGCTTTAACTGAAAAACAAATCTGTTCAGATGAAGACAGCACATGTCAGCACAGTGAAGCTGGCATGATGAAACTGTTTCTTGGAGAAATCTGAAACAGTAGTTTGCTGAAGCACCACAGGCTGGGGAAAAGGCACAGTTGTTAAGAAGTGACCCATATATAGGCAAGGCTCACACAATACCTAAGAACAAAATACTGTAAAGATAAGGCCCTGGCACAATGTGTGAACCCGGTCAGTTCCAATTGCATCAAACCTAGTTAATAATAGCTCAGAACAATGCATGAAGTCAGAAAATTTTTCCCAAATAAAGAAAAGGGGGTCTGCTCTAAGCAGGAAGTCATGGAGAGGCCTAGATGAGATTACAAGAAGACCCTAAGAGACACATATTGGGCTTTTAAATCCAGGCTTTGATCTAAGTGTTTGTAGGGTTTTATTCATCCCAAATCAGATGTACCTGGAAAATATACTGCATTAGATGGGGATGGAGTACCCGCAACTTCTGAAGGATTGAGTCCTTTCAAAGGATTCAAAAGGATTGAGTAATTCCAAAGGATGTGAGTCCAATTCATGCTATTAACAATTAGGAGGAATAGGAATAAGAAAATAATGAAGCTAGAGTGAATAAGGAGGAAGACTATGTATATCATTTGTGCTCATCTTCCAAAGAGCTCTCTGAAGGTTATTTATGAGGAAATGGTATAGGGTTTCCTGCCTGAGCAGGGGGTTGGACTAGATGACTTCCAAGGTCCCCTCCAACTTTATCATCATTATTATTATTATAAATACCTGTAATATTTAGTGGTTGAATTAGCTTGGTCTTCGGCATTGGGTGCCTTAACTACCCTAGGTAGACAATCCAGGTTTGTAGCTACTTAAATCATGTGAGGGAAAAGTTGTGTGAGAAATGTAAAAGAGAGAAGACCAGAAGTCCCAGGATGTCCCCTCCCCCCAAAAAACCCAACAACAACAACGAGGGAAAATGGGAGACAGTACGGATTTCATTTCACTGGCAGGCTTTCATCAATGCAATCTTCACCCAACAAGTAAGCTAAAATTTGATGGCTATGCAAAAGGGATCATCCCAATCATTATAATGTATCATCCTTCAAAGATTTTGCTAACAAACTGGTGCACCAAATCATTGTTTACTATGCTGGTTCATAACTAGCCACGATATTTTAAAATAAAAAGGCACATATTCACCATAATGAAGGTCTGCTATAGGCTGAAATGAGATGTAAAGACTGGATGAATAGAGTGGTAAGCTCATGGTCATTTCCAGTTTTGGGGAAACAGTTTGGGGTGGTTTGGTGCTGCCTTTTCTTGGGATTTTCTTTTAATGTTTTACTTTCTATTCTAGCCCAGAGCCTTAGGATTTCTTAGCAACATGGTTTAAAATTAAATCGTGGTTGTTTTTGTCACAGCTTAGGAATAGATTTGTCTAAAATAAATATTTTGGGGTTTTTTTCCATCTGGAGATTCTTCCTCCTCCCCAATGCATGGATGCTATCTGCTTTCTTTGGATGCACTGTATTAAGGATGATCCAAAGTTTATGTTCTTTTAACAATATTGGAACAGCCAAATTCCCAAAATACAGCTGCCAGCCATAAATAAACAAATCAATAAATGGGCTAAAAATAATGCTGTGTACGACATGTTTAATTTGCACAGGTGTGACTGTTGAAAAAGCTAAATAAAACAAGCATGCACACCAGCACACCCATGCTGCCCACCCACCTAACTGCATTTCTCGCCCATATTCTGTTGTGCGTCTGAGATGCTAGAGCCGTAGTGACAGTAGATGGTGCTATGGGAATGCTCCCAGAGACACAAGGACATCATTGTTTTCATCAGCAACAAAAGCTGGCAGCTGGGATGACCTTCCTGCTGCTTATGGGCTTGGTGATGGAGGAGATTTGGATGCCATGCTTTGAGGCAGGCTACATATTTCTAGGACCCTTCTGGAATTCCCAGGCAGACAAGCTCATCTACCGACAGAACCATTTCCAGGGAATTCTTCCATACCTGCCCTTTCATAACTATGCAATATTTGGGGAACTAAATTCTTGTTAGACCATAGAAAAGCAAGCATTTCTTTTCTTTCTGACAGTTCTTTTTTTAGCCACTGGACGTGGTCTAAATTATGAGAAGTATTTGGAGATGAGCTTTGGCTTCAATCCAAAGAAGGGTGATTGGAAGGAGGAGAGAATTAGCATTGTTCTGTGAATTCTTGTGAAAGAGCAAACTGAAGACTTCTCA